GGAATAATATTTGTGGTAGTCATGCACAATTTTATTTTGTATATTGCCATTTTATATTTTATTTGGTTATTATATGCATATGGTTTTTATATTAAAAGGGTGAAATAAGGTTAAATAACATGACAATCGTTTTGTCTGTGTTATGGCCACACTTTTCAGAAGAGTTTGCATGGTCTGACTGATCTATAGTGAACACTGAATAACACAGTGTATAAATGTTGAAAAAGCTCGTTGGCTGCAGACTGAGCAGAAGCCAATCTGTTTTTTCACCATGTAGTATACAATATTATTGCTAGCATAGATTACATCACTCAGTTTCCTTACTGAACTTTTATCCATTTACTTAAAAACAGTGTACAAGCTTTAAAAAAATGTATTTCCAGGTTTGTATTTTGAATCCCAGATACTCAATCTGTACGTATTTCAGAAGTTTGTATATATTATCCTTGAATTGGAAGAGAAGGTAAACATATTTTGCTTACTTGAAAGTCAGCTTGGACTTACTTGAACAAATTTAGTAATAACTAGACATGAGTGTGGAGTTGAGATGGCGGAGGGATACTGAAGCAACTGCAGAATGCAGGAGAGAATCATCTACTTAATCTAACAATGCATTTCAAGAGCCCATTTCTAATTTGTACATAATAAACACATTTTTAATCAAAATGAACAATAAGAGCAAAACTAATACATATAGTTGAAGAATATTTTATTTCCACATGTGTAGCTTCCTTCGGTGAGGAGAGACTGCTGGTTTGTTCCCTGACTCAGAGGAGGGCTGACGTCAGCAGGGATGTAGGGTGGGTGCTCTGTCATCCAGATGTAAAACACACTGACAGACAGGAAGAGAACGCATCTCACTACATCACAGCTCTGATTCACTGTGCCTCCGGTGATGACCTGTCCTAAACTTCCTTCTCATATGTGTAAATCATCACACACACACACACACACACACACATGTATAGGATGTGTGTATCTTTCGAAGTCTGTGAAGTCTAGACTCAAAACTCATCTGTTTAGCTGTGCATTTACTGAATGAGCACTGTGCCACATCCAAACTGATTGCACTATATTTTATGTATAATAGTTGCTTTCTATTATATCATGTCTAATCAGTAAGAGTAAAACATCATTATAGCTGTCAAGCAAGATTATTAGTCAATAAATAATGACTCCCACACACAAAGCACACACACTTCTGCACATAGATCATATAACTTAATATTTTTCTGATACTTTTTAGAGCTTTTTTGTTCTTTTTAGAACTTTTAGAAGCATTTAGTCCCAGTCCACTTTCATTGTAGAGAATAGAGCAGCTCAAACATTCCTCCAAATGTCTTACATTGCTTCCCTGTAAGAAAGAGTTTATATATGTTTGGAAAAAAAGTAACTCTTTTTTTCTCTAAAAGGTTTTCTTTCATGCTCTTTTTGGGTACATTAATCAGTTGTCCAAGCAAAATGATTTTGCATTAATTAAGTGTGTCCAGGAATAAAGCAACATTTCATATAATTTTTGCAAATTAATTTTAAAGCTTGCATTTCCCTAAAAAAAGAGTTTCCTTACACATTTTATCTGCACTTCCGCAGATTTCCACTTCATATAACTCTCCTATCTGCAGCTACTCCCTGAGCCTGTGGCATAACATGGAGATGTTATAAGCTGTGACACTATGAGCGTCAAGCATTAGCACTCAAAAGGTCACTGCGAACGGTCAACTAATTAATATAAATACACTATCATTAGAAAGTAGATATTACAATTGATGGGAATGATGTTTTAGAGTCAAAGTTTGGTTGGGGTAAGAAATGCAATGTGAAGTAGTTTTAGCAGTATTCGTAGAGGGAGCATTTGACTGAACTGGATTGAAATAACTTTATTTTCCACCATAATTTGCAAATAAATTCTTTAAAAATCCTACAATGTGATTTTCTGGATTTGTTTTTCTCATTTTGTCTCTCATAGTTGAGGTATACCTATGATGAAAATGACAGGCCTCTCTCATCTTTTTAAGTGGGAGAACTTGCACAATTGGTGGCTGACTAAATACTTTTTTTCCCCACTGTATACACAATAGGTGCATTGTATCAAATGATTAATTTAAATGCAAGTACATAGTAGTTTAGTGACTCATTGTTTTGGACAATGTCTTGCATCTTCTTCCAGACTCTGAATGCCAGAATGCCAATCAAAGCTCCACAGCACCTCTCTGGATCGGGCTGAGTGCCACGGGCTCTGGAATAACATGCGGGTTGTCAGTACAGCAGTGAGTTTGGGCTCAAAATGGGCTCAGAATGTCATAACCAAAAACCCCTCTGGAGAACTTCTAGCTTCCTTTTAAAAAGGACAATTCTGTGAATGGAAGCCATAAGTTCCTGCAAAAGCTCTCCAGACTGTCAATGGTTCCTCAACCCTGTTGAAAAAACCAGCATATGCTGTTAGGTATGTTTTGAAACATGGCAGCTGGTTTAAACTTGTTTAAGCTAGTCATGTGCTGGTCCTGAGCAACTAGCTCCTGCTCAGGACCAGCTTAAACTAGCCCAGGACCACCTGAGGACCAGCTCAAAGCAGCTCAGGACCAGTTTAAACCTACTCAGGACCAGATAAAACCAGCTTAAAACAGTTTAGGACCAGCTGAGGACCAGCTCAAACCAGGTCAGGACTGGCTAAGGACCAGCTTAAACCAGCTCTGGACCGGCTAAGGACCAGATTAAACCAGCTGAGAACCATCTTAAACCAGCTCAAACCAGCTGCCGTGCTTTTTTTCAACAGGGAAGTAACCCCATAATAAGATAAGTTTTGAGGCACTTGAAATATAGTTCTTTGAGTACACAATAGGATATTTGAGACACCCTGAGAAGGTCCCCAGAGGTTCTCCAAAGGGTTCTTCAGAACTAACAGGGTGCTTTTTGTTTGCCGTACAATGTGGAGAGGAGAGACAGGGGCAGCTTGCTTACCTTTCCTTTGTGACATTAAAGTTCTGGGAAAAAACTGTGTGGAAAGCACATTATTATCTCAATAAGTGTATGAATGAATGAGTCTCTCATACAGAGGGTGATTATAACCTTCAGAAACGAGACGTCATTGGCTTTCATTCTTTCCTCGATGTCTTTGATGGTGTGTGAAAGAGCTGAGATGTGTCTGTTCATCTCCTCCAGCTTCTCCTTCATCATCTGATTCTTCTTCTCCACTTCCTTTCTCAGTGCAGAGATCGTAGCTTGTTCTTCATCACTGAGAAACTGATGAAGCTTCTAAAACTCGTGTTGAACCTGACGCTCTGTGTGCTCAGCTTGAGTCTGAAATCACATCACATTCGGTTCAATCAGCTCTGCATTAACACACAACAGATGACAGCATTTCCATGATATGCAAGTCAGAATTTAAATATATATATATATATACTTATTTTTCACTAGGGAGTGAAGTGTGCGAAAAGAAGTGTGCTTCACTGTATTGAATGTGCACTTAAAGGAACACTCCACTATTTACTGTACTAAGACTAAGACAAGGAAAATGAAAAGTTGTGAATGGCTATACTCTCATTCTGGCATAATAATCCATTTTCAAGTGCTGCGTAATATCATTGCGCCTGCTGCACCCATGGTACGGCAGCAAAGTTCCTTGATTATTACGTCGCAATGAGAGTATAGTTCCTCATTCTGGCATAATAATCCATTTTCAAGTGCTGCGTAATATCATTGCGCCTGCTGCACCCATGGTACGGCAGCAAAGTTCCTTGATTATTACGTTGCAATGAGAGTATAGTTCCAAGCCATATCGGCCTAGAAAATCACAACTTTCATTTTCCGTTGGTCTTGGTACACAATGTAACTACAGAAGAGTCAAGTTTTGAATAGGAAAAATATAGAAACTCTTTGGTCAACGACCGATCGTCATGAATAACATTTGCAACATCCTCACTGTACAACTTTTATTAGCCATTTGCCGATTTTTCTCTCACAGCTTACCCGCACGCTATGAACTGAACTGCTTCCGCATCAATGACACGAAAGCTCACTTGCTCTGCTATTTCCTCGAACACTTTGAATAGGAACGTGACGTAATTTTGGTATAGAATCGAAGTACTACATGTCTGCCATCTAGTGGTAGGGAATACAAATGAGATATCACACCATATTAGGAACTACAGTCTATTTGATTAAGTATGACGTCTTGTCGCAATTTTGCGACTTTGGCGCTTAGAGGGTTAAGTATACTTAAAGAAAGAGACTTTTGTCACGATTCACTACGATGCGGGAGCGCAGAACGAGGAGACCAGGAGTACATCAACACAGGAGATTTTAATGTCTTTAAGGGAACCAGGAAAAACACACATAGCAGGAGAGGTTGACACATTCACAGACACTCAATACCTGATGCTGGAGACAAGGAAACACAGGGCTTAAGTACAGGGGAACAAATGGGACACATCTGGGAACAAATTAACTGAACGGGGATACCTGACCAATGTGAGAGGTATCCGCTCACAGTTCCCCAGAGGCGGCGGGGCTCGCTTCTGGCCTTCCCGAAGCGGCGGAGCCTGCTCATGTTCCCTCCGAGGTGGCGGGGCTCGTTTCAGGCCTTCCTGAAGCGGCGGTGTCCGCTCGCACTTCCTCCAAGGCAGTGGAACTTGCCTCTGGTTTTCCCAAAGCGGCAGTGCTCGCCTCTGGGGCTCCCGAAGCGGCGGAGCCCGCCATTGCCCGTTCCAAGGCGGCAGCTCCACACACACGTCCCCCTCCAGCACACGGACCTTGCCCCCCAACCCCCACTCCGCCCCCGCTCTGCCGTCCCCCTGGTCGGGTGCTTGGGAACATCTGGAAGCCGTTCCTTAGAGAGGGGGTTCTGTCATGAGTCCGGGCCCTGCATTTATCCCTCTCACCACCAGAGGTCGACATCTCCTGTCCTCCCAAACTCCATTCCCCAATCTCTACACACTGTTCCTCATTGTCATGGACTATTTATACACCACACTCCCACCACTCTGCCTGGCTGAATTGTAATTGTATTGTTATTCTTGTTTGTAGGTGATGGATGCAAGTACTTTCGGTTGCCGCATTTGTATCCCAGTCCTGTTTTTGGTTGAGTTGTTTTCAGATCTTGTTTGATCTGTTTCTGTTTTTTTTTTGCTTTGTCTGTTTTGTTTGGTAAGAAACCTGCGTTTGGACCCAGGCCCATGTTTACACAGTGTTTTCCCTTACCAGACTGTGACAGGAGTAGGGGACTTTTATAAAGAAGCTAAAAGCAACTTTCAGTAAAGTCTAAGATTGATTGTTAAGTGTTGACTGAGGTGACACTTAAGTGTTGTGAATTAAGAACTACAATGATGCCAACACAAAATGGCTGACCTCAACCTCTGAATCAGCCAATAGTGAGCCTGCTCATGTAAAGTCACAGCAGTACAATACCAATCATTTTATGTAACTACAATAAAACCATTTAATTAAGACACTGAAATATTTTATTATTTAAATTCATTTTTTTCAAATGCTTTGCATTGTGCAAAATTATCACAAATTATTACTGATGCTTTGTTTAATGGTATGTCTCCTCGTTTACAATTGGACCAATGATGTGAACATTGTCAGGGGCTGGCGTCTGGTGTTCTCCCTCTCACCACCAGAGGTCGCCATATGTCACGAGTTACTGTTTGTTTGTAGTCACGAGGGTTACGAGTGTTTCGAGTGTCTGTTCCGGGACTGATGCAAGCCAGAGGTGGCCGTATTGCATCAGTGCCCATTTGCGTGTTCTAGCCTGTTTCAGAGTCTTAGCTCTGTTTATGTTTCTGTTTGTTACCTTTGTTTTCCCTGGCAGTGAATAAAACCTGCATTTGGACCCAAAACCCTTGCTCACACGGTGTGTCTTTCCTGACCGCGCCGTGACAAACATGAGTTCCATCATCATGAGTTCCTCCAATAACTCCAGGAAAGCCCACAATCCTCACAAAAGTGGCTTGTTTTTGCAGTATGGTTTGGCAGTCAGTTGGAAAGCCAATAAACAAAAGTAGTGGCCAAAAGTGATGTCCGGCCTTGAAAATTCGACATATTCACCCTTAATTAAAAAAAGAAATAAAAAAAAAACATATATATATAAATATATATATATATACATATATATATATATATATATATATATATATATAT